AGAGGTACACAGCATGAACAACTTTGGCTACAAAGCCAGAAAGCATGGTTTTTATTAGGGGCTTTATTGGCCGTAGGAGACCTGGAGATCTGCTGTCTGCCAGCATCTTCCAGTGGAAACCCCAGGCTGCTGCTTGTGCATCCCTCCCAACCCCCTGTGCTTCTTTTTTTCTTCTTCCTTTTACCTTGAATAAATAACGCCAGTCTGAAGGCTTGTGGGGATGCCAGCTGGAACGTAGTCAGTTCCTTTTCAACTTGTTAGACACGCAGGACAAGTTTACAGTTTATTAGCGTGTGATATCTCCAGTTCTCCTGAAAGGCAGGCCTGCTTGTGTTCCCCCTTTGGCAGAGGATGATAAAGTCTGGGTTTCAGAGACCGAGATGAAAAGCCACCAGAAAGGGAAGAGCCTTGCCCAGTGCAAAGTATTGACTGATCAGTGCAGAAGAACATGAGTCAAGATCAGGAAGGCAACTATTCAGTTACTACTAAAGCCTCCTTTTAACTGCACAGCTAGATCACCTTTCATTGAAATACTTTAAATCCTGAAATGAGCTTCAAAACACTCTGCAGATGTAGAAGGAAAGTAGATGGACCTGTGGCTTCTTCATGGTCAAGGGCAAAAAAAGTAATATTCAGTTTGTTTTTTTACGATCTCAGTGCACCCAGCTCACTGAGGCTGCTGGCTGCCATTCTAGATCGAACCCTCTATGCTTGACCCTTCTTCAGATTAACAGTGGTAGCAGATAGCTTCCGTTGCAGGAATGCGATGAATACTCTCTGGGGTTTGATCTGAACTATAAAGGAATTGCTCAATATACTGTATCATATTGCCCAAATAGATTCAGGACTTTAGACAGGTCCTTCCAAAGTTGGGCCTAAAACTTAGAGTGAATTCAATGCTTCACTGACATGGAAGCCACCAGCTGCTACGGTTACTCTGAAGAAGCACCAGGCATAGAGGATTGGTTCCAGAACAAGCGAAATGCACTTGAGTCCCATGGGAAAGAAATCCAAAGAGCTGGGGAATGGTTTCACTTAATTCTCAGAGCAGTCAAAGGGACTTTAAGTACAACTAATTTAGCTTGTATCCAAGTCATTTAAGGGGGCACATGAAAAAGAGGACAGGGATGCTCTACTTTTCACAGCTGTGTGAAAGAAGGAATTTCAGCAGGTGATGCCTGCGCGACAAGCTCCACCTGCTGAAATCCCTCTTCTGCATCACCACTAAAAGCATAGGGGCCCTGCTTACATTTTCACATGGCCACCTTATCTGGATGCCTCTAGAGCAAAATTATACAGGCGGAGTATCTCTTATCTAGAATTCCAAAATCTGAAATACTCCAAAAGTCAAAACATTTTGAGCTGGATACCTGTACTGTATTTGCAATGTTGGAGAGGGACACAAAGGATTTGTGCCAAGCACTATGCTTATATTCCCACCATTTCACTGATCCTTAGTCTCTCTCCAGCCTCATTATGTCTTAGTATGTATACGCAAATAGAGGTATTCCAAAATCCCCCAGATCCAAAATATGAAACACTTTTTGTGCCAATCATTTCGGATAAGGGATACTCAACCTATTTAGTGTTTTATTTTGAGGTGGGTTGTGATTTCCAAAGAGAAAAAGGGTACAAGGAGGAAGCATGAGCTTTCCCTTACTGGATCTGAGTCATTTGGCTGAATGTATTGCTTACAAGACAGCAGGATCAGAAGATCCAGTCAGTGTCCTCCCATTTTCTTATTTAGTTGATCCTGTGGTTTGATTAGCTGTTCTTTTTTTCTTTTTCCTTTTCTTTTTTAAAAAAATTCTTTATCTTCCACCATGAGAAAGAGTTCTTCAAAACTATTTAGTTGATTCAAATAAATGAAGGCATCCTGGTGCTGAATGGAATCCTGCCTCCCTCTCCAAGATTTCTGCCTTTTTGAGATTAACTATCAAATATTTGTTGTTGTTAACCACCCTTGAGTTGCTCTCAACCCATGGTGATCCTGTGGATGAGACATCTCCAGAACTCCCTGTCCTCCACTGCTCTGCTTAGCTCCTATAAACTCATACCCATGACCTTGCTAATAGAATCCATCCATCTTCTAGGACAGGGGTAGGCAACCTTTCCCCTTTAAGGGCTGAGGGACTTCAGCTCCCAGAATCCCAGGAGCTATTGGCCAACATGGGACTATTGGCCAACATGGCTGAGGCTTCTGGGAGCTGAAGTCCCTCGGCCCTTAAAGGGGAAAGGTTGCCTACCCCTGTTCTAGGATGTGGCTTTCCTCTCTTTCTACTTCTCCCCACCTTTCCCTGCATTATTGTTTTTTCTAAGGAGTCCTCCTGTCCCATGATATGTCCAAAGTACTACAGCCTCAATTTTGTCATCTTGGCCTCCAGGGAGATTTCTAGCTTGATCTGCTCTGGGACCCATTTAAACCATCAAATTTAGGTAGCTCATTTCAAAAGAGTATGTGTGGTTAGAGAGGAAGAAAGAGAAACTGGGGCATTTGAAATGCATCTGAAAATGTCAGACAAAGAAGATTAATCAGGACAGTCCTTGCCAAATCAGGATAGTTGGAAAGTATGAGACAACACTCAACCATATAATACTGCATATGATGTGATCCACATATCCCCCATTTTCCTCCATCCTCCCATGACACATGTGCATGGGAGTCTGTGTGGGTTTTGGTATGTGTGTGTTTGTGTGTGTGTAAGTTTTTTGCACACTGGATTCTTGAGTGTGTGGAGCCCAGGGGTAGGATTAGGAGGCACTGGCCCAAATCTCCTAAACACCTACTCATTCCTACCTTGGTGGACCCCTGAATGCTTGTGGTAAAACACAAGAGAACCCAATGTATTTGATCTGACTGTGCCAACTGGTTCAGAGCTCCAGTTTCAGGAAGTGAAAGGCTGCATACTTTACTAGGTTGTAGGTTCCATTGAGCACATTGGAGCTTAGCCACTGAATAAAAATGTTCAGGGCTGCACTGTAAACAAAGCAGCTCAGTATGCAAGATGGGCCCGTTGCTCTACTGGCCAAAGGCCACTGTCTGCACAAAAGGCAGATTGATGTGCTATTTTCTAGTAAAGTCTCCAGCCCCTTCTTAGCTTTGGGCTTCCCATCCAAGGTTCTCGCCGTGTTTAGTACAAGCAACAGGAAAATATTTCTGCCTTATGGTTACAATAAGAACATGATTGTTCACATGGGACTGTGGAGTTCTAAATTTATCCCATCTCTGATTTGTCTAGATCATTCTTGTTAACTCAGTATGCGTGTCTGTTTAAAACTAAATGTGCCTTAATGCCATATCCTCAGCCAGGATCTGAAGGACCCACAGCTGTGTTATTCTGCTTAAGACTGCCATAAGAAAGATATTATGAATCTAGCTGGTGCCATTCCCTCCCACATAGCTGGATATAGTTTCAGTGTGGAAAGAATAGGGTATCAGTAAGGTTGTACATTTAAAGGAGACGTTTACATTTTTCTTTAATTTTCCCCTTCTCCCAGCCTCCTTCCAAGGAAATCCATCTGGTGTATGAGGTTTTCCTCACCCACATTATACTTATAACGTTATGAGATAGGTCAGGCTGAGAAAGAGAGAGTCCAAGGTCACCTAGGGTGCATCTACATTGTAGAAATAATGCAGTTTGATGCCACTTTAAACGCCATGGTTCCATCCTACAGAATATTGGGATTTGTAGTTTTGTGAGGCATCAGCACTCTTTGGTAGAGAAGGCTGAAGACTTTGTAAAATTAGAAATCCCAGGATTGCATAGAATGGAGCTACAGCACTTAAAGTGGGGTCAAACTGCATTATTTCTACAGCTCAGATGCATCCCTAATGCATCATGCCTGAGAGGGCTTTCGAATCTGATTTTGCCTTCCGCTACTTCAGTGCTGTAGCCACTTCTCTACACTAGCTGTCAAAATTTATCCAGAAATGGGATGGAATATTATCCTATCACAAATGGGGGCGAAGGGATGAAACCTCAATTTTCTGCTGAAATGGACATTGTGTGGCTCAGCATATTCATAACCAGTGCCTTCTTTAAGGACACTATACAATATTAAATTCAATTCAAATGAAAATAAAAATAAAATAGAAAATCTGGAACTAAATTATAACTAAACATAAATGCAACTGGGTCACACAATCTGCACCACTTTTTCCTAACAGTCAATTGCCTCCAACAGGCTGGGTACTCATTTTACTGGCTTGTTAAAGGATGGAAGGCTGAGTCAACCTTGGAGCCCTGGGATCAAACTCACAGCATTGTGGCTGCAGTACTGTCATTTAACCACTGCACCACCAGGCCTCCATGCAAATCCAATGATGTTACTGTATTTCTAAGTTACTGCAATGCTGAGGACTGAAGGGATATTTCATTGTAATGAGAAGACTCTGAACCTGGGGAATTACTAAAGTCCAAGTCTTCAATGGGATCTTTTATCCTATGTTTACGGAGGTGGCTAGAGATGAGACTGAAGTAGAAACAAAGCTTTATTTGGGGATTCAAGCATACAAAGACACCCTAACATACATGCACACACACAAGAACTGAGGAGTAAAGTAGTTAGCTTGGATAGGAACACAAGGCTTTCTAATGGTGATAATTACCTGCAAAGATGTTGCTGCAACGATGAATAGACTCAGCCGAAAAGGACAGTAGGTAGAGCCGGGGAGACTCTAGCTAGAGATCAT